TGCTGGTCTAAGGCTAAAATGTTGTTCCTACTACTGTTGAAATGGTGATTAGATGGATTTTTTTTTTTTAAAAAAAGGCATAGGTTAGAAAGAATTTTGTTGTTGATTAATTTTTTTTAGACTATTGAGAAGTTTGGAAGGAGGCATTATGTTATGTAGCCCACTTTCCATAAGTATTTGTGAAACTTTATTATCTATTCCATTCAGCTCAGTGGGACTCAGTGGGCTTCTATGAGAGGAAAACCAATTAAATAAAATAGGATTTCCTTTGCTTGTTATTCAAAAATGTCAGCTGAAATTGTGAATCTCTGCACATTTCAAAGGTTTAGGTCTCATGAATTCAGTATAAACCTCTTCTGTGACTGAATTGAGCTATCCATCTCAGATTGATTGGCTATTACTCAGATTCTTACGGGACATGTTGTGCCTAAATGTGCCAGCCTACCGTTCCTGTCCAATTATACAAAAGATAAGGAGGTTGCATTGGGAATGAAGTAGTTACATTAATGAATAAAGATAAAGTCTGCAAAGCAAACCTTGTGTTTATTCCTCTCTGCAACCACCTTGTCTTTAGTACAATTGGGGAAGACACTGTGGACTGGCACAACATGTCCTATAAAAGCCTGAGGAATAGCCAGTCAATTTAATCCTGGCAACTACATCAGTGTGCTTTTCTTATCAGTGGTTTACCGCTGTCATTTTCTGGAATGTTTTTTCAAATTTCCGATCTAGCTGATAGCCCTTCCAATGGCTCTCCTTCCAAGCATTAATTAGGCCTGTCTTTGACAGTAGATAAAAATCCATAAGTTGCTGCCATTACAAAAGATGTGATGGTTATATACAATGAACCTATACAATTAATTCATCATTATGCTCTGCAAGGTACTTACAGGGTTCCTCCTCATGATTGTGGCAATGTGCTTTCCTCATATCTCTGAGGCAAAAATGATGGAGACTGTTCTACAAAGCACTTGCCCTGCAGCTTAGCTTTGCCACAGAACTGGGCCAATCAATGTTGCTGCTCATGTACAGTTCAGTTCAAAGTATTCTAAGGTTCATTGAATAGAATAGAATAGAATAGAATTTTTATTGGCCAAGTGTGATTGGACACACAAGGAATTTGTCTTGGTGCATATGCTCTCAGTGTACATAAAATAAAAGATATGTTCATCAAGAATCATAAGATACAACACTTAATGATAGTCATAGGTTACAAATAAACAATCAGGAAACAATATCAATATAAATTGTAAGGATACCAGCAACAAGGTTACAGTCATACAGTTGTAAGTGGGAGGAGATGGGTGATGGGAATGATGAGAAGATGAGAAGATTAATAGTAGTGCAGACTTAGTAACTAGTTTGATAATGTTGAGGGAATTATTTGTTTAGCAGAGTGATGGTGTTCAGGAAAAAACTTGTTCTTGTGTCTAGTTGTTCTGGTGTGCAGTGCTCTATAGCGTCGTTTTGAGGGTAGGAGTTGAAACAGTTTATATGTGAGGGGTCTGTAAATATTTTCACAGCCCTCTTTTTGACTCGTGCAGTATACAGATCCTCAGTGAAAGGCAGGTTGGTAGCAATTGTTTTTTCTGCAGTTCTAATTATCCTCTGAAGTCTGTATCTGTCTTGTTGGGTTGCAGAACCAAACCAGACAGTTATAGAGGTGCAGATGACAGACTCAATACTTCCTCTGTAGAACTGTATCAGCAGCTCCTTGGGCAGTTTGAGCTTTCTGAGTAGGCCCAGAAAGAACATTCTTTATTGTACTTTTTTGATGACATTTTTGATGTTAGCTGTACATTTTAGATCTTGCAATATGGTAGAATCTAGAAATTTGAAGGTCTCTACTGTTGATACTGTGTTGTCTAGTATTGTGAGAGGTGGAAGTATGGAAGGGTTTCTCCTAAAGTCTACCACCGTTTCTACGGTTCTGAGTGCATTCAGTTCCAGATTGTTCTGGTCGCACCACGGGGCTAGTTGTTCAACCTCCCATCTGTATGCGGATTCATCATTGTCTCAAATGAGACTGATTACTGTTGTGTCATCTGCGAACTTCAGTAGTTTAACAGATGGATTGTTAGAGATGCAGTCATTGGTATACAGAGAGAAGTGGGGAGGGCCCTGTGCTAATTGTACAGGTATCTGATGTGATTCTGCTTAGCTTCACATGCTGCTTCCTGTTTGTTAGGAAGCTTATGATCCACTTACAAGTGTGTTCAGGTACCTGTAGCTGGTTTAGCTTAGTTAGAAGAGTGTCTGGAATGATGCTATTGAATGCTGAACTAAAGTCTACAAAGAGGACCTTTGAATAGGTCTTTGGAGATTCAAGATGTTGTAGGATGTAGTACAGAACCATATTAACAGCATCATCTGTTGATCTATTTGCTCGGTATGCAAATTGCAAGGAGTCTAACAGCAGATCCGTGATGGTTTTCAAGTGGACAGCACTAGCCTTTCAAAGGTTTTCATGATTGGCATCTTCCTGGTTCTTTCCTCTCCTACCCAGCATTGCCTATGACTGGAAAAGCCACTCATCATCTGCTTTCCTAAACATGTGTCAGGATGAGGTTTAGGTGTTTAGCTGAAATGTTGTTTCAGTCAGGCATAACTTCCCACCAATACCACCATTCTTAAGTTCTTCCTATGCACATCTGCTTTTGGAATTGCTTCTACTGAATATATGAGACTTGCTTCTGGATAAATACAGTTAGTCCTCAACACACAACAATTTGCTTTCTGACAGTTCAAAGTTACAATGACACTGAAAAAGTAACAAGTGAAGAGTATTTTTGAATGCCTCTCCACTGCAGATGTTTCTCTCTCTTTCTCCCCACATTGCCTGCACACAATACATGGCTGCACAAACATCTGTTCTTCTTCATTATGCTTTAGCAGGGGCCAGCAACAGATGGAGGCTTAATTGTGAGATCCTGTCCTCAGCAAACTCTAAGTGGGCTGACCTCAAGCTATGGTAACTGGGAAATGTAGATGATACATCCTCTGTATACTTGGTTTACATTAGTCTGAGGAACCGGCTGGTGGCATGCCTGTAAGATTTTTTTCTCCAGGATATTTCTGTTGTTGAACACACAAAATACTTCTGTTTTCTCCAATATCTTTTTCAACCTGCTTCTGAAAACATTGGCATTTCCCTGAGGAGAATGAAATCTCCTCAGTGTTGGCTACATCCCATTGGGGCACACAAGCAGAGCTTGTTACACAGATAATTTTTGAATTGTAACAACTAGTTTGAGTCAAAGGCCAGTTCAGTGGTGGGTTGCTCCCGGTTCGGTCCGGTTCTTGTGAACCGGAGGTAAAAGTGGCAGGAGGTTCTGTCCACCTGCCCAGACATCATCATGGATGATCTATGCATGTGCAGAAGCTTTGCAATGCACTTCTCCTGTTGCGAACTGGTAATTTTTTATATGTGTGGGAAGGGTTTAGTTAAACATGATCATTATGGTGTAAAATAAAAGGTTTAATAATGTCTTTACAGAGCTACTTATCCTCTTTGTTCTCCTTGGTTCCATATCATGGTCTATATTAACCTATATAAATCATTCATAGTTGTGCAATTGTTTTTAAAAAAATATCTTGCCCAATGTGGATAGCAGTTATTTTGCATGATTATGTTTCAGGGTTCAGATGTTCATAGGAGTGAAGTAGTGTTTCTCTTTTTGTGTGTATGACCATCAAACAAACAAACATTCTTTATATACTAGGAGCAGAGAATTGCAGGTATTTTGACATTTTTAAAATTGATCACACATGCATATTGCTGTGCTCCAAAGAGCAAAGGGCATCTTGAGGCATCCATGAAGCTTTTCCATTTTAACTTCAACTCATCAATAGGAGATGAATTAAACTGGGGATTTATTATTTGGATAAGGTCACCCTCCAATCTTCAGCTCTAAATAGCAATTTGAATCCAGATCCCCATAGTAGGAATTCAGTGTTGTGCCTAGTATAGTCTTCCATGTTATTTAAGATGTATTCCCATGTTAATTATTAAACCATGTGATTCAAAATTGTCAATAAACTTCTGTGACTACTAGGCATACAAATTATTCTCAGTATCTTCAGAATTCAAATGTTGTTATCTGGAAATATTTTTAATCTGTGAACTTGTGATGGGCATTCCATGATCTTTTCCGTCAGCCAGCAGTAATACATTCACTTAGTTTTGTTTATTTTCACAACACACACTTGGAATCTTGGAATGTTATTCATACAAACTGGTATATTATTCAACCAAAGAAATTGATCATTGTTTTGTATCTCAGGTTATTGCTAGCTTGTTGTTAGATCTGGTCTTAATCAAAGCAGAAGCTGCTGTGTGCCAAATATATAACTGAACCACATTTAACAATATTAAATAAAATTGAAGAGTTTATGATAACTTATGTTGCCCTTTTCATTGCACAAGATTCAAAACTGATAGTGAATAATGATACATAGAACATGCCATTTATCTGTGCATAATACTAAGTACAGAGTCTTTATACTATATCAGCCAGAGCCTTTTGATGGAATTGTGGTAGGTCAGAATCAAAGTTGAGGATTGTAGTTAAAAGGCATCTGCCAAGGTCTCTGCTTTAGCAAATGGTACCTCTGTAAATGTTGAGAATTTTCAACTCAAGAGTTTCTTCTTCATTTATACTCCTGAATCTTTGTCTGTACTGAGCAAGCAAGTACTCATAAAACAAGGAGAAAGATAAACTTCTTTGGGCCTCAGTTCTATGTGATGCCATGGACTGAGCCCTGAAGAAGGAAAAAGAATGGTGAGTAGAAGGTGATCTCACCTAGAGACCTATGAATCCTTACTTGTGTATTTCCAATGCCATTCAAGAATTAACCCTGGCTTATAGCATTTCCTATTAATATTAAATTCTAACCGAAAGTCCCATTCAGTCATATTCCAAAATACATTTTGGGTGTATCTTTCTAAAATATGGATTGTTTTATGATTGATGTGTAATTCGTTTCCTTCTCCCTGGTAGGTTGTTTATAAGAATAATGATATTCGTCTGGAGTTATCTCGTTTGGCAAGGATTGGCGACACAAAAATGAAAATCTACGGGGAGGTGAAATTTACATGTGAGAATGTGGCCACATTGGATCCAATCAATTTTGAAAATCCCGAGGCCTACATTAGTCTGCCTAAGTGGAACACCAAGCGAATGGGATCTATCTCTTTTGACTTCCGCACTACAGAGCCCAATGGCCTTATTCTTTTCACTCATGGTAAACCCCAGGAGAGGAAGGATTCCAGAAGCCAAAAGAACACCAAAGTGGATTTCTTTGCAGTAGAACTCCTGGATGGAAATCTCTACCTTCTTCTTGATATGGGCTCTGGAACTGTCAAAGTAAAGGCAACTCAGAGGAAAGCCAATGACGGAGAATGGTATCATGTTGATATACAGAGAGATGGTAGATCAGGTATGCACCAAATCCTTGAGAAATGTAAATATGTTTGTTTCTCTAATAGAAAGTCTTGTAAACTGCGAAACAATAGAATCCAATGAATTGCTTGACAGTGGCAGTTGTCTGTGATTGTATATTGCAGGTTTAGCAAAGGTGATGGTTTTGAACTGGAACACTGTAACAGCATCCCAAATGTTACAAATGAAAGTAAAAGTGTAGAATTCAACTTGTGTTCTTAAACACTTCTTTCACACACAGTATTTGCATAATTTTTGGCTTGTCTTTGTATCCATGTTCTTCCACACTGTGGTCTCTGTTCACTTTATTTCTGGCTAAGTTGTGGTTCAAGAATCACTCTGAAGCTTTATTTTCAGCAGCAGGGACTAGCGTTTTCAGGAGCTTCAAAATGGACATTTTTCTTATTGTAAAGAAAGAAAGCTCTTCTCACTTGAGCTTTCCTCTTTCCAAATACTGGTAAAACCAGTATTTCTCACAAGTTGTACCTAGACAGAAGAAAGTAAAGGTGGATGGATGGATAGGGAGGGAGGGAGAGAGGGAGAGGGAGAGGGGGGGAGAGAGCGAGAGAGCGAGAGAGAGAGATGAAAGTGGCATTCTCTGCTTCACAGCATGCTGATGTAGTAAGCAGAGGAGGAGCCCCAATTGGCATAAATTCAGTTATATTACCTGTACCTTTTAGAAGTCCAGTAGAGACTTCCTGCAAAAAGACAAAAAAAAGCATGTGTTCTTCTCCTAATATTTTATTTTATAGAATTTGCAGGATGCAGTTTTATCATACACACACACATATTTCAATGGCTTAAATTTGTGGGCCAAATGCTCATTGGTACTCTGGAATTCAGTCAAATCAGCAGAACCTGCCCTGAAAGATGATGCAATAACAATGCACTGTTAGGTGTACAGTAAAATTGACTTGTCCTATGCTTCCATATTATTCACCAATAATTTTGCATCAAACTGCCATATTATTGCAGTACAGATAGTCCTTGTTTAGTGATCACAATTAGGTCTGGCAACTTGGCTGCTAAGCAAAGTGGTCACTAAGTGAAACAAGGGCAGTGCATATGATCTTACTCCAGCTTTCCTCCGCTTTACAGACCTGTCAGGTCACAAGTGTGAGAAGTGATCATAAAGTTACTTTTTCACCACCATTGTCCCTGTGAATAGTTGCTAAATGAGGAAGTTGCTAAATGAGGACTACCTATAATAGCTTTCAAAACCATATATTTTTTTAAAAAAGCCTTGGGAAGTACTGATATCATCACAAGGCAATAGATTTGTTATACTTCATAGATTTTCTAGTTTATCAAGATAGTGACTATACAGTCTTGACAGTTCTGCTAGGAGGCAATAACATGTTTCAGGCAAATGTTCTCTATCCCCTGTTTAAAAAGGAGTCCTTGATCTTCTATACTAAGTTTTTCACCCTTCATCAGAAGTCAAACTACACAGGGAAGTGATTTGTTTCATCTCTTAGACTCTTGCTTGACTTTCCTTTCTTCTTTCTTTCCTTCCAGGTACCATTTCAGTGAACAGCAGACGGACACCTTTCACTGCAAGTGGAGAGAGTGAGATCTTGGATCTGGAAGGAGACATGTACCTGGGAGGACTGCCTGAAAATCGGGCTGGCCTTGTCCTTCCTACTGAGCTGTGGACAGCTATGTTGAACTATGGTTATGTGGGCTGTATCCGAGACCTCTTCATTGATGGCCGGAGCAAGAACATCCGGCAGCTGGCCGAGCAGCAGAATGCAGCTGGTGTCAAGTCTTCCTGCATTAAGGTCAACACCAAACAATGTGATAGTTATCCCTGTAAAAACAATGCTGTCTGCAAGGATGGCTGGAACCGCTTCATTTGCGACTGCACAGGCACTGGCTACTGGGGAAGAACATGTGAACGGGGTAAGTTCAGAATTCAGAAAGAGAATTTAGCCAGAGATGAATGTTGTTTGGGTGGCATTTTAATTTCTTGATACTTTATGTTAGACCTGGGCATTTTACAGCCTCTGGGCCACATCTGACCTTTGGCTGTCACTGTCCTTACTGTCTGATCATGGGATCATCAGGGAAAGAGGTTTTAATCAAAAGGCTTATTCTCTGAATCTGGCCATTTTTGGCATTCAGTATCTTGAGGAGTTCAGCCTTGGTTACTTCCTGTGAATTTATCTAAGCTGCAACTAGTGAATTAAAGAGCAGATTGAAATGTCATTAGGCTCCAACTTTTTTTCCAGCACAATTCTTACATTAAAGTAAAAACAATAAATAAAATAACAATAAAATAAAACAAAAACAAACGCACAAATATATTTTGAGATCTAAACCTAAATTCTGAGTAGTAAAGATTCCATTCACTGTATCATCAAAGTATGAAATAATGTCTGTTTTTCATTTCTATGCAAGTCTTTTAAAATAGGAACTTTGAAGGCATCTCTTTTTGAAACAAGAAAGGAACCATATCTTTTTTCAGGCCTTTGTTGTTGCTTTGTAGTACCTTTCTGTTCCCTCTTTAAGTGTATAATATGCAGAGCCATTTTCTTTGCTGAATGTATGGAGTTAGTTGATATACCATCTACATCTGTTTTCCTTGAAATGATCATGTTAATTCAGGGCCAGCATTATAGGTTATCTGCCAAATACTCAAAATGGCCCATAGCCAATCTTGCTGATCTGGTGAAATTGAATGTACTACAACTAAATTATTCTATTTGTGGCACTGTTGCAATTTCTATTGCCATTGCTGTTTCAAACCAGCCCTACTAGTTTTCAAGTTAGGTGATAGTGTTTCTAGGTAACAGTCAAGGTAATACTAGGTTCCTTTGAATCCAACACTGTACCACATTTCCCAATATGCATTGTCCATCTTGACATTTTGAGTGATTCACAATAATATGCCAACCAACTGGCACAGAATGAAGCTTATTGTGGAGTTGGCTCAACTTTTGTTCAATTTAGTGCTACATGAAGGATGAGGATATGATTCACCAATAGCTACAGGGCATAATGGCAGCCTAGGAGAGCACTCATGTCTGAGTGGAAAGGGGAAGTACTCAAATTCTGATCTAATGTGGGATCATTAGCAATATCATGCTAAAGGCCTACTAAAGTCTGCCATCAGCCTGTATCCATTGAGGGAAAAAAGCATCACTGAAGGAGGTCTAATGAAAAAGCAAAATAATATTTTAGCATGGAAAATTGTGTCTGGAAGATAAAAAGGACGAAATTCAATGCAGAATAATGAGTGAGTGAAAGGGGTTTGAATAAGGAGAGAAGGGATGAAAAAGGCATTAAAACTTGTTCATAGTTTTTTGGGTGAAGTTATTTGCATATTACATTTCTTGGGTTCTCATTTTTAAGATTCTGTTAATGTAGCTTGACGATATGATGACTAGGTGGCTCAGTGGCTAAGACATTGAGCTTGTCGATCAGAAAGGTTGGCAGTTCGGCGGTTCAAATCCCTAGTACAGATCTCCTGCATGAGCAGGAGATTGGACTAGATGACCTCCAAGGTCCCTTACCACTCTGTTACTGTTAAAATAAAATAAAATTAGTTCATCTGGCTGTGTTTGCTGTCTGGTTTACCTGACATCAATCTTGCAAGTTTGAAAGAACTTTCCTCCCTCTGTTCTCTTTATAGCACACAAAATTAGGGTGGTGGCTTCTGAGCTGTTTGCCCTGCCCATGTTCCTGCTGTGGGCTTAGCTGCTTTTTATCTGACTGTTCCTCTGGCTGCATCTTTTTGCCCTGTCTCCCAAGGTCATTCCCACTTACTATTTTAACACCCATGTCCTGGACTATCCAGAGTTATGAGTGGAACAGAAAGTCAAATTATTTCCAGACCAACAATTCCTCTCAGACAGAATTTAACTTCAGTCTGTTTCCTTACGTTCAGGTTTGTAAGAGGAACATTGCAGGACAAAGAAAATGACAGTTCTCTCTCCTCGGAGAGGCGGGCCGCGGGTATATACAGAACATAATAAGTACTAAACTGTAGACCTGTAAATAAAGTTGAACTAGTGGATAGCACAGAACAACCTAAAATTAGTAAGTAGAAAGTAAGAACAAACCCTAGGAATAAGAAAAACAAACTAAAACTTTGGCATTATAAATAAATATTTATTTTGAGGCCTATTTTATAATAAAATATTTTTGAAGGTTCAATCTCTTGTTTAATTCTAATCCCCCCCTCAAAAAAACCCCACACCCTCCAACAATATCGCTACATCCAGGACCCTAAAGATTTGGCCCCTTACATCCCAGTTGACCTCATCCTGGTTAAGGTTTTCCACAGCAACTCTTGGCTGGCCTGGCCTGACCAAAGGATCACCTCTTATAGCAATTTCAAGTAACTCTTAAAAAGCAGGGGTAAGAGGACACAATCTTATGGCATCCCATGTTCATCAGACTGGCCTCTCTCCTTCTGGTGCTGTCTGGTTGTGTTGTCCGGTTAGGAAGAATAGAACAGAACCCTCTTCTCCTTGCCTGTCATCCAAGTGATACTGCCAAAGAATGCCAAAAAATAGGCTCAGATATGAGTTCATATCCTTGTTTGGTCAAATTCACTTTTGATCTTCCTCCAACAGACATCAACACATCTTTTCTGATAATTTGTCTTCCAGAACTCTTCTGGTTTGGCTGACAAAAGCTGATCAGGGACAATCTCATCCTGCCCTCTGGTCATCTTCCAACTCTAACACTCAACAGTGGAATTAGGTAGAACTGCCAGTGAGGTTACTGGGAAAATTCCCAAATGTCCTTTAGAATTCATCACAGTTCCACTACTGAACATATTTTGTGTTGAAATAATTCCAAACCACACTGACACCACTGTGATGCTTTTTTCTCCTTTCTGAGGAGGAATTTGAACCATGCAGATGGGACATGGCAGGCAATCAAGTAGGACAGCACTTTTAGCCAAAATAGCATGTGCAAAATAATTTCTTTTAAAGCCTCTAGTTATGGCGCGACCTAAACGTTTCCATTTGTTGTCTCTAGGTCATCCTATAGCATGGCTTTTCTAGATCAGTTGTCCATCTGTTGTGTCATCTGATATGGTTTTAGTTAAGTAAACACAGTATTACAATAATATCAATGTAACCATCAGTTGACCAATAGATAAATTTATTAGGACTTTAATAATTCATCAGAATAGGCAAAGAATCTGATTTTACCTTGAAGACTACCAACGTTACTGGGGCATAAATTTCTACCAGGTGTTATTTTGCTGCCAGGGGCTAACCATGGATCTCCACGCTTACAGTTTGCCAGCTAATTCTTTAGTCTATTTGGTGCAGTGGATTTGTACAACAAATTTTAAATTAGTAACATACCCATTGTTTTTTTAGACTCTGTTGTGGGTTGAGGATCTGTCTCTCTCCTGATATACCTAGATTACATTTCCTGCCTAATGCTTCATGAAGAAGAATCATGGAATTGTAGTTCAGCAATATCTATGTTCCCATCCCTGTTCTGGAAGGGATTCTTACTCTCCCCCCCTCCCAATCTTAACCTTGGCACCAACCGTTCTTCATTATCTTCTTTGCTGAATACTGCTTATAAAGGACAATGCATCTGTTGTTGGTTATGTGATAGTAAACAAAGGTCTTTAGTTTCCGCTTTATTATCTGCCAAGTATCTTTACTGCAGCATCTCTTAAAAGCTCTTTAATGAGAACACACATCTGCCAATTATGTATCCAATAAACTTAGAAGCTATAAAATTACAGGGCAATAAGTTGTGCTACAAAATTATTTACTGCATGGAATTAATTCTATAGCTCTTGCTTTGTATCTTATGGCTAATAGGACAAACTCCTTTAATTGCTGGCTGTACCAAAAAAATGAATAAAGATCTCTTTAGGAGCATCCACATTTTGAGCATGCATCTCCAGACTAGAGATCATCTGGGAATAATTTTATTAAATGAACAATCCTTTCATATCTTAAAGATGTTTATTATCAATTCAAAGGCTAATGGTAATTGCAGAGTTCAGTGTATTTTATAGTATATTCCACCTACTCTGATTACCAACCAATTATGTCCTAAGATCAGGATTAAGGGTTCAAGTGATGGGGACATGAGGTCTATTCACAAGAAACACAAGATTTCTTTTTCTTTTGGTCAATTCTTCTTTACTGGCCCACTGGCTTCCTGTCTTCTAAGAGATCATTTTTTATTTTATTGTTTTAAAAAAATGGTCTGGCATCTTGTCTTGATTGTTTGTACTTGATCATAGTTATATGAAGGTAAGCAACGTGCAGCAGATCCTAGAAAGGATACTCTCTGCACCTAAAAAGGGTGCAGAGAAGAGCAACAAAGATGATTAGGGGACTGGAAGATAAAACATATAAAGAATGGTTGCTGGAACTGGCTATGTCTAGTTTAATGAAAAGAAGGAGGAGGGGTGACATGATAACAGTGTTCCAATATCTCAGGGGCTGCCACAAAGAAGAGGGAGTCAAACTATTCTCCAAAGCACCTGAGGGCAGGACAAGAAGCAATGGGTAGAAACTAATCAAGGAGAGATGCAAGCTAGAACTAAGGAGAAATTTCCTGACAGTTAGAACAATTAACCAGTGAGACAACTTGCCTCCAGAGGTTGTGAATGCTCCAACACTGGAAGTTTTTAAGAAGAGATTGGATAACCATTTGTCTGAAGTAGTGTAGGGTTTCCTGCCAAAGCAGGGGGTTGGACTAGAAGACCTCCAAGGTCCCTTCCAACTCTGTTATTCTATTTCTATTTCCTGGAGAGCACTGGGCCATAGGGGCATTCGTGCCATTCAGCAAGGCTTGTATACCTTGGAGAACGGTGCGAGGCAGCCTTTTTGAGTGGCAGTGGTGGCGCCAGGGCTAAAACTGAGGCCCAGGCCTCTGGTTGAAATCTAGCCTCAGGACTCTCGCCAAGT